TCTCTCTCTCTCTCTCTCTCTCTCTCTCTCTCTCTCTCTTCATTTTCTCCGTTAGGTGTGATGTACGGTACTTGACGCAGGGAAGTGCATAAAACCGGAAGCTACATCAGCGACCCTTCGGCCTCGATTCGACGAGTGGTTACAACCGTGTAAAGTGGGTTAGAATACGAGCGAGTCCAGCGCGGCTAATTCGTTCATTCGTTCACCCTCCGTTCGACAGCAACGTTAAACGCAACTGTATATGTATGTTGTGTCGGGAATCGGCGCGTGATCCTTTCCCTGGACGACTTACCTGTCTTGCGATCGATCGCGAATTCCCTTGTCGTACTGAATGCAAAATAATCTCCAGATGTGGATCGTGTGCCTGTTGATAGCAATTTACCCCTCGTGTTAACAATTAACAATCCACTTCCGGCCTGGCCGAGATTATTCGGTAGAAGTTGGATGAATAAACGAGATCCTTAACCGTCTCACCGCATGCTGCGGTATCGGTTCGGTTCACCTTGAATATCGTACGTGCGATTGCGGACTTCGCGTCGATTACGGCCGGCCGGGTCACCAGCAGTTGGCTAAATTCTCCACGATAATCGAAAATTGAATCCGACTATCGTAACATAATTGATGTGACAGCCCACTCAAATGCTTCTGGAAATCGTTGGTAAATGTTATTACGTTTGTTGCGCGAAACAAATTTCGAAATTTCATCAGCGTCTAACGTCGTTGGGCTAATCCGTGGTACAACTCGAGGTCGAGGAAATTCTGTGGCTCAGCGTGAGACGAAAACCGTGAGAATAACAGACGTTCGTTACGGGGTTTCACGTTGAAAAGTGAAAATCGAGTTTGAAAACTTCAATGGATTGAATAGTATGCGCGAAGCTCATCTCAAAATAGAAATAAATAATTGACGAGAAATTAAGTCGTTTGATATCTTTTCGGTTCTTGTAAACACTACGAGCTTCGTGAGCATCCGTACAGAATTAATTTTTATTAATGTTATACTCAACTTATTCAGCACATTCAAAGCTTTCAAAAATCAAATGCTGTGAATGTAACACGACGTTTATTAATTGTATAGGTTAATCTGTTGATTATTTCGAACTGTCTCCGATCAAATCTATCGATTCGTTCATCTTTAATTCAAATTACATTTAACACTAATTATTCTAGTGCAAATATATCGGTCATGTATAGAATTCGGCACTGTTATCATATATTAAATTCTATTTACATAGTTAATCTCGCTGATCTCGCAGGCTTATTAATTAATTATTTCGAATTATACTTTTGTTGTGTTTTATTTTTAGTTAATATTTCCTTCCTCTCTGGAGATAATTTGGAAAACAGATTGATGTCTAAATTAAATCATCCGATAAATATAGCACAACATTTATAATATTTTACACATGGATAAAATAATCTTGTGATTGATGCGACATTGTTATTATTAACAGTGATATAGAAAATATATTTCCGACAAGTTTCGTTAATTGTAACAACTGCGAGCCATTCTGAAATCGGATCAACTGATCGACCAGCTTCGAAAAATATCCTTTGTTCTCTTTCACCAATTTCCTCTTCGTTTGAGTTAACTCTGTCGAGAAACATCCTCGTAAATCCATAATATCGACTGTATATTAAATACGAGACTATTTTTTTTTTTTCTTCTGTTTCGCGAAAAATCACAGCGGATCAACTAGCGTGGTCGTGGACGTTCAGCTCGCTAATTAGAGAATTAGGAAAACTAACTACCTAAAAGGGATAGAAGGTTATTCCGTACGTGCCTGGCACGTAGTTGTAAAAAATAAAAAGAGAAAAAATTGGGGAAAAAACGTATGGCATTTGCCGTGAGAACGGAGCCGTTTCGTAGTCTTGCGATGAGCCGCACCACCACACCCCGGCAACGCATCGTAAACCGTTCGAGAGACATTCTCGCTGTCGGTCCCTTTTATTCCCCTTTTTTTTCCCCCCCC